AGCAGTTGCATGCTGAGGTTTTAGTGCACAAGTAGGGAGGGAAGAGCGTGTTTCCTGGCATGGAGGTTCAAGGTCCTAAGCAGGAGGAAGGAAGCGTCTGTGTAGAGAAGGCCCTGTGACCTGCTCTAGGAGTCAGAGCAAAGCAGGTAGGGCCTCTCAGTGGAAGGAAGAGTCTGAGCCTGACAGAGGGTGCCAAAAACCAAGTAGGGTGAAGAGTGCAAAAGAACCCAAAATAGGTAGTCCTAGCTGGAGCAAGAAAATAGCACAGGCAGTGTGTTTTAGAGGAGAATCGGTCAAATTAATTAATTAGTTAATTAATTGAGGATAGTAAAAGGCAGGTTACTCACTGCTGGAGTGTAAGAGTTAAAAATACAACCCGAGAAGAGAAAAATTCTGTGACAGTGAATTGGACTTTGAGGTATCAGTGTTAACTTGTATTTTCTAATATATAGACATAGATGTAACTGTGTTTGCATGTGTAAAATTGTTGCGTACATGCCCTAGACCTTTCCAACTGGAAGAGCCTAAAGAGCAGTAGGACATCTGACACCACTGGGCACAGCTAGCACATGTGTCTAAATGTAGGGCTGAATGTTCTGCTTTTCTACACGGAGGGATGCTGGCAGCAAAAACAAAGTAGGTCTGCTGTAGGAAGCAATATATATATATATATATATATACACACACTGATTTTTTTTCATCTTACACAGGGAACATCAAATGTACTATTTGTTTCTTAAACTTACATTTAGAAATACAGATATAAACATATTATTTTTTAAAAAGAAAGGGAACTGATAGTCCTAAATTTATATTATGTATCTGCCAAACACAGGAAAGGAAAGAGTTAATGTATTTATGTCTTTCTGGCTATTACAGTAAGAATAATATTAGTTCCTAGAGTAGACCCAGTCTCCTTTCCTATACCTTTACAAATCTTCCTCGTGATCCCATTGGACCCTTCTCTTCCACACTTTGCTGTGATAAAAGTTCAGGCTCCTTAGAGGCATCCTTTCACATTTCACAATTACCTGTGACAGATTTGAGCTTAAAGTTTTGGAATTTGTTCAAGTTCTGAGAAGAAAATGTTTGATCTTACAACAGTCTCCACAAAACCTGACAATTCTTCTCATGTTCTAGAAAAGGAGTCATGAAGCCTCCATTTTTCTGTTCATGCTAGAAAAAATACCTGCCAGAAGTAACCAAATAACAATTTCTATATTAAAAACTACACTCTCTAAGCATCTCTTGATGTTGCACAGTACAGCAAATACAGCTTTCATTTTGACTTCTGCAGCACTCTCTATTTATAGTAATACGCATCCAAATCTGATATTTCTTGTCTTTGGAAGGCCTATAGTATTTGTGGTATTTGTGTGGAGGCAGGGAATGAGACAGAGGTTTATCTCATGTTACCTTAGCATCTCCTTGATTTGGCGTTCTTCCTTGAAGGTGGGTTCATATAAACCCCAGATTTGATTTACCTCAGGGTGAAATATAAGCCTCTTTTATTCTGTGAAGTAAAATGGGCCTTGTGCTTGCCTAAGTACTACTGGTTTTCAGTGGAATGTGAGCATTCTTGGTAAGAATAAAGCTAGATTCTCTTGCTGTGGCTGGTTATTTAGTTACATAGTGTGTAGACTTTATTCAGCTGAAAGTTGAAGTGGCTACTTACCTATCACACAGTGAAGTTCTCTGCCAATATTTTTCTACATGGTAAAGTCAATACTTTTAATCAGATGGGACCCCAGCCCGTATTTTATTAGAAGGAAAAAGAAGTATATTGCTATTATTTTCATTTTTTGTATTCCCTTTTTCCTTTTGTTAGATTGACACATTGTACTATGAATAATAATAATAGTTATAGCCATGTATTGAAAATCTACTTTAGTGCATAATGTTAGATACTACCTTCAACTTTCAAGACCTCTGAAAGGAGATACCTATCTGTCTGTCTATTCCGTGACCCCCACCCTCACCCCTTTTAAGATGAAAAAACTAACTTCCCAGGGATTCATACATATGATAAGTGCTAGAGCAGAATTTAAGTACTTCTGGCTATAGAGTTTGTACTCTGACTTACCACACTGGACTTCATATGGACAGCATAAGCTTGAACTTGAGTTTGTTAGTGCCTTTCTGAGCTGTGTTTGTTTTATTCTTTCAGTAGGAAATTACACATTTGTAAATGAATTGACTAATACAGTATGATGACAAAGCATGAGATTTGAAGATGAAAAGCTGAAATGTTGAACCGCAGTAGTAGCTTCTGCCAACTCTGTGACTTTAGAAAAAGGGCCTCATTTCCCTTGGACCGTAGTTTCTTCATTTTTCAAATAGAGATAATATTAGTTGAGATTGTTACTGAGCTATATACGTGAAAATATCTTGTTAAGATTGAAAAAGAAATGTCTAGTCTAGACCATTCACTCATTGAATATCTATTGAGTGTACTTCTGTATAGGTTGCATGTCAGCTGGTAAGGCTGAAGCAGTGATCAGGGAGAAAAGAAGCCTCCCTCAGAAGTTTATACTCTGCTTCCCCACTGTCTAACATAATATTTTCTAATCACTTGCTACTATTTAAATTAGTAAAATTAAGTACAATTTACAATTCAGTTCCTCAGTCACACTAAGCATATTTCAGGTGCTTGATAGCCATCTATGGGTAGCAGTTACCATGTAAGACAGTGCAAGTAAAGAACATTTCTATTGTTGTTTGGAAACTGTATGGAAGGAACACACATTGAACAGCTAGTTAGATAAATATTTAATTCACTCATGATGAGTGCTTTGAAGGACTAGTCAAATAGGAGAAAGTAATATTTTTTCTAAGAATGGAATGGTAAATAGAAATTTCATAGGTAATTCATGGTGGGGAAAACATTTCACAGGATTTGCAAAGATACAAAAGCCAGGAGAAGAGGTATTGAGATCCATAGAGATCTGCATTGCGGAGCCTAAGTAGCAGGATTAGCCTACTCAGGGGAAGGGCCTTCCTTGATTATGATGGGAGACACAAAGGAGAGAAAGGGTGAAATGCAGATTTTTGTGTCAGAAAACAAGGCTTACTTGTTTCAGTGGCATTCATTTTCTCTATGAAATGTAAAATCTGAGAACAGAAAGAGGGGAAAGATGAGGGTGAAGTTTTTCAGAGAGTGGGGATGTACAAAGCCTGTTTCTGGGGACTGAGAGGCTGAGAGGACCAGAGATGGGCTGAGATTGCTGCAGTGCTCCTAATGGTCTTCTGCATGAACAACTTTCTGAGGTGCAGAGATGAAAAGGTTTGAAGATGTCTTTTATTCATTTAGCTAAATAAATCAGCTTATGCAACAGAGTGAAGGTGATGTCTGGCAGTAGTAAGAACTAAATAAACATTACTACTGCTGCTGGGATTTGTCTAATAGGAGTAACAAGTGGAAGGACAGAGAGAATGTAGGTTATTTACAAGAAAGCGATTACAATGAAATTCGGTGGAATCTTCCACATTTAACAATTGAAATGAGACAATAGAGGGAAGTGGAGAACTCTGGTGAGTATTTGGGGACCATCTGATGACTCAGTGGATGCTTCAGCAATTAAGTAGAAATGGAGAAAATTAATGAGGTGAAGAAATCAAAGTAAAGAATACAGAGAAGTATTACCAGAGTCACCTTACTAAGGAATCTTACAATCTAGGTAACAAGTAGTATTTCTCAGTGAAAAGCAAAAGTGCTCTTTTATCTAAGTAAATGACAGCAAATTGGCTATACCTTGGAACAAGGGAGTTCAACTTTCTGAGAGTTTATAGTCCTAATATCTAAGCCTATTTTGATGACTTAAATAAAATATAAAAACCTGCTCAGATTCTTTTATTAATTGATTTTTTTATTAGTATGTGTTTGCAGTACATGCAGTTTACAATTGTCTTGGGTAGTGGGCACATGTGCATGATACAACTTGTTTATTTTTAATCCCCTTCCCTTCCCCCTCCCCCCTTCCTCATTTAATTCCCCCTTTTCCATTTTCATGCTTGATATTAATCTTAGCTTATGTTTATTGTATATAATGCTTACATCTATTGAGATTATTAAGATCCTGTACATGACTTTATTTTTATCCTACTTATTTCCCTTTCCTCTCCCCTTCACCCTTCATCCTTGATCTTTTGGACCCCTTCCCATTTGCAAGAGCACTATCTCCTGACCCCTTAGCCATCCTTTATTATTCTCTTTGCTTGTACTTTCCCTTATTCAAATGAGAGATACTATATGGTATTCAAGCTTGCGTGTCTGGTTTATTTCACTCAACAGTTTATTTGTCAGGTGTATCCATTTTCCTACACGTCTCAAATTGGTCTTTCTTTATGTCCCAGTAGTATTCTATTATGTATAGATACCATATTTTTCTTTATCCAATCATTGGTGATGGGTATACAGGCTACTTCGAGAATTTAGTTATTAATTGTGTTGCTATGAACATTGGTATGCATGTTTCACTGTAATATAGTATCTTAAACTCTTTGCGGGGGAGACACCTAGAAGGGGAATAGCTGGGTCATATGGAGTTTCTAGTTTAGTTCTCTGAGAAGTCTCCATACTGATTTCCAAAATGGTTGTACTAGTTTACATTCCCACCAACAATGTGAGGGTGGGTCCTTTTTCACCTGTGTTCTGTCATCATCCTCTCCCTTTCTCCCCATCCCCAATTATTTTCTAATTTAAGGCTCGTACAGAAACAGATAGCATCAGTGGTTGAACTAGTCCTGTTAGTGGATAACACTGTCTTCTAGTTTTGTGTTGTGCCATGAAGAGTAGACTGGTGGTCTTGAATAAAAAGTAAGTCACCTGTACATTGTCTGCTGTTCCTCCCACCAGGTGCTCCATGCAGCAGTTTCAGATACAATATTGAAAATACCTTGTGTTTCAAATGTTTAGGAAAAAGAAGTCTATGTAGTCTAAAAATGAAGTATATATGGTCTGATTCATTAATGACAGTCTCTCCTTTCATTTTGTATTCAAGGCTTCAGCGATTAGCCAAAGATCTTCTGAAACAACTGCAAGTACAAGACAGTGGCTCATGGTTAAACAACAAGGTTTCAGCTTTGGACCGGACCCTGGGTGAGATTGCTAGAATATTGGAAAAAGAGGTATGTAATAGCCTCTGGCCTTTGGACTTAAATTTTGGTGGTTCTTTCTCTCTCTTTTTAATATTTTTATTACCATATGTTTGCAGTACATAGCGATTACATTCATCATGGGGAGTTGTGGAATATGCATAACACACATTAATGTGCTCCTTTCTCACACGGGGGATTTAGCTCAGTGGTTCTGCTGCCTGCCTCGCAAGCACAAGGACCCGAGTTCAATCCCTGGTACCAAAAAAAAAAAAATGAGCTCCTTTCTCACTGGACAAAAGGTAGACTTTCCATATACACTCTCCGTCTGTGTCTTCAAAAGCTGGTCAACAACTGATGGTTGTTTTCTATTTATATTCTTTTCAGTTTTTTAATCAAAATTATTTCTGGTTTTAATTGAAGTCCTCTTTAAGTCATGGTTTTCTCAGTTGTCATGTTTTCACTCACACAAGTGAAATTATTTAATCAAGAATCACAGTTATAAAGATATATAATTTTATGGCAGAAAATATAAAACTTTGAGTTATTCAGCTCATAAGTTTCAACTGGATTTCCATAAAACACCAATTTCCTCCCTATTTCTGAAAGAAAATTTAACAATTTTCTTTACTTAGTCATTAAATGTGTCAACAACAGTTTAAAATCCTTAATAATTTTAAAGATATTTATTGTTCACAATAGAAAATATTAAATATATAAAAAAGAGATAAAACTACCTGTAATATCAACTGTTAACATTTTACTGTATTTTCTTATAACCCTTTTATTATAAATTTGTTTCTCTTGTTCTTGTACTGTTTCAGGTAT